TATTATATCTTTTAACTTGATTATTATAATTATTATTAATAAATAATTTATATCAATATCTATTATATACTTTAAGTATTTTTGTTGTAATATAAATATTTAGTTATTATTTTATTAATTAGATTTAACTATATTTATTAGATAATTCACATTATAAGCTTATTGAACATTAAATAGTATAATATTATTGGACAATAGATAGTTAAATATAATTGATAAATATAAATAGTAAAATAGTAAAGATAGCAAGCAAATATAACAAAAAATATAGTGAGCAAATATAACAAGTAATTATAATGAGCAAATATAGTGAACAAATATAGTGAACAAAAATAGTGAATTAAAATAGCATTAGCATAATCAGTTAATATATAAGCAAGGTAATTTAGTAAAAGACAAGAATAAATCTATTAAATGAATTCAAATAATATATTAATGTATATTAAAATTATTATGTATTCTTTATTAAAAATCTAATTATCAAAAATATTTCCTTCAAAATAATCAAGTATTATAAAAAAATGACTTGTCGAATTATGCATACAAATATCATTAGTAATATCTGGACGATTACAATAAAACAAAATATGTTAAACATGATCACGTTAATTAACGAAACTTGATTGAATTTTTTATTTTCCCATCATTTGACAAATGATAATTATCATTTAACGTTAACAAATAATCAATTAACATAATGCAACAGAATGTTCTTAAAATTATGCCAACGGTTTAAACAGATTGAACAAATTGTGTATTGAATACAATTTATTCAAAAATTTGGCATTTGATTATTTGTCAATTCATTGAATATTCGAATGGAACGAATAAGGATCAACCTCTACCACCTTTAATGGAAAACCCAAATCATGATTTATTTATGAAAAGCTTCTTAATCAACCCAAAGGAATGCGATCCTTGAAGAGAGGTTTGTTATCAAGTAATGCAAAAATCAACGGGCATTGCAAAAACAAGAATTAAATGTTCAATTATTTGTTGTATGCATCACATGCTTGTATCCCATCCAATTTTCAAACACCAAGAACTACCCTTGAAGAAGTCATATATTGGGGGAGTCGCAGAGATATGTAAAAAGAAAATGCGATTATACATAGAATGGCTTACAAAAAATTGTTCCGGAAACTCTAGATCAAACCAATTTGTGACTTCGCTAGTAGAATCTACTGATATATGGAATGTTATAAGGTTTAAATGTCAAACAGGTAAATTATGCTCTCAAAAAGTATAAACGACATCGGGTTATTCCAAATAACATTTTGGATAATTCGATTGAGAGCAGTAATAATTCTCTTACACAATTATAATAAATTAGCAATTAGACTATATCGATATTTGTTAGTAGATTAGCTATACAATATAATCTCAACGAATTTAAATATTAATAATATCAATATAAGAAATACCCTATTTTCAAAATTTTACAGGGGTGGTTGTGATTAAGTCACTCGAGTTATAGAAGGAATCAAAATTTTTATTTCTGTGCTGTTTATTTAAACATCTTTGCTTTTGGTTTAATCGTCTCAATTCGTTTTAAACCGGAAATTCTAGATCTAAATGAATGGAGAGAACCAACCACTGAGTCAATAGTGGGAACATCAACACCTCTCGATTCTATGAGTCCGATTCACATTGATATGTATTGATTTTACAATTACATCGCCGAGAAGTAATAAATTTTTACATTAATAATTTTGGATATACAATTTAACGTATTCAATCGGAAAAAGAATTACTTGTATGTGCAAATTTTGCCATCTCGTCACGTGGATACATGCAAGAGAGTGCGCGACAAATCAAACAGCTTATACGTACATACATTTCTCGTGAAATAATAGTAGGGAAACTAGTGAAAATCATGTATTACATGTAATATTCTAAGCATATACATAACTTCAACATATTATTCTTAAATATGTTATACTAGAATTTCAAGTCTTTTTAATCTTTTATTAAAAAGGTATAGCCAAAATATGTTAGCATAATATTTCAAAAAAATAATTTGCACAAAAAAGGATTGTCACTACAACTTTATTAATAGCGAAAAAAATCATGCTTTGATATTCTAAGCATGCAGGTTAAAATGGTTTGAAGTATGTTATACTAAAATTTTAAGTTTTTTTTTTGAAAAAGTTGCAACTAAAATACAATTATATAGATAGAATGACCTGGCACATAATTAGTAAGCCGATAACGCCAAACTAATGAAAAACTCATAGGTGTTCTAAGTTATAGATTCAAAATATTCTGAAATGTGCAATATTAAACTTTCAAGCTTTTTTAATCACTCTTTAGAAAATTGCACCTAAAAAAAATTAAAATAATAGATTTCATACTTTATAAAATAATGACAAGGGAGCTAATAAAAAAGAATGTTATTCCAACATTTCAAGTTTTTTTTAATTATAATTAATAAAGTTAAAATGAAAATACTTTTAGACAAAAAAAGGTATTTTATTTTAATACATTTCTTCCTGTCTTTTTAAAAGTGACTATAAAACTTAAATTCTCAGTACATGTACAGTACCCTCAAAAAGTATCAGCCGATTTAAAATTATATAGATATATTATATATATAACTTGAACTTTTCAATTTTCATATATAAAGCGTGGCAAAAATTTTTTTCATATATAAAGCGTGAGAAAAAAACTTTGTTTTTACTTTCCAATCAAAACAATCCTTGCATTTTAAGTTGCCACAAGTCTTGTATTATTTTTTCAAAAATACAATCAATTTTTATGTTTTATTATATAATTTTGAATTGAGCGTTACTTTTTGAAGAATACTGTACATGTATAGCATACTTCAGGACATTTCAAAATTATGTATTTAAAACATCATCAATGCAAGTATTTTTATTAATTTCCACACGATTGTCTCATAAATAAAGTGTTCGATGGCTTTTGTTCACTGAGTGATATACAGTCTGTAACAAAAAAAAACTGTAATAAAAAAATTATTATTATATTATAAATAATACATGTAACAAGATAAAAATTAGTTAATTTGAAAGCTAAAAGTAAAGAATTTATTCTACATAAGTTAAAATGATATATGTTCTCCACTGCATTCAATAATAAGTTCACAATGTCATTTCATCGAACCTACAAGATTGAGGTCTTGGATATCTCTTCACTTCTCCATTATAAATTATTCTAATTCATTAAGATTTTGTGACATTCATCTCTTTACATTTCCTTTAACAATTCCCCAAAGATTTTTAATAGAATTTAAGTTAGGATTATTTAAGAACCAGTCTATAACTTCTAAAATATTATTCTGAAAAATTTTTTTTGCACAATGACTTGTATGCTTCAGATCATTATCTTGCTGGAGTCACTAATTATTTTCAAATATTTGATTAATTTCTGGAAGCTGTTTTTGAAGAATTCAACATAAAATTCTGCATTCATAATTCATTGAAAGTAAAATAAGCTTGTTTTTCCTATTATACAAAATTCACCCCATGCAAGAATTTTTACTCAATCTTTTGGCATATAATGAATTGGTCATACATTTTTATACCAGCATTTTACAGTATTTTGATACAGTTAAAAGGCTGTTTCATCTGAAAATAAAGTATTATTCCAGTTATCATTAAGATATTTATTTGCCCATTCAATCCATTTCTGTTTGTGAAGATCTGTGAGCATTGGTGCTTTTTTTGGAAGAGATTTTTATATTTATGAGCTTTTAAATATCTTAAGATAGTCATATGAGATATCTCGAGATCTTTTTGACTTAATTTTTTGGTTAAAGTTCTTGAATATATTGTCTAAGAGCTCTGAAAAATTGCTGGTAATTTTTTGTGGTTGATCATTGCCTCCTGCATGGTCTACAGTTCCAGTTTTCTTTAATTTTTTAATATTGTTATAAATTGTACTAAGTGAAATCTTAGTCTGTATATACAAATCTTTGGTATTATAAATTTCTTCATTCCATAAATGTAATAAGACTTGGCATTGTGTATTTTTTTTTGGATATAGACATTCAGATAAGTGTTATTTGAGAATATTAAAACAAATAATATTTGTTAAATTATATTGAGTTTATTCATGTTAATTATATCTGTTTTCTATGTTATGCATCACAAATCACATTGAACAAAGCAAATTAAACAATTTTGTATTTTGTCCATATTTTACAGTTTTTTTTTGTTACAGACTGTACATGTAATTTGTAAGAGGTTTGCTTGCTATACATGTATATAAAATTTCGATAAATGCTTTTTTCGATTATGTTGGAACACTACGTATCCCGCAATGCCATTCTTCATGCCTATCGTTATCGATTTTCTCGTCAGATTTACTATGTGGTACATCCCAATGTCTGACGCACAACATGTACTGTATTAGCGTTAATATTACACGAAAGCATAATGTACAAATGACAATGCGCGATTTATTATTATCATTATCGTCATTGATATTTTCTACATGTGCTAAAATAGAAAAATACGTGACAGGAGCACAAATAGATAATGGCATTTGACATTCGTATAATGGTTAAAATGTTCGTAACACAATTATCCTGCCATTTTTTATTTTATATTGTTACCCGAAAATCTTTGTAAAAATTATGTTACTTGTTTCACAACTACTATATATAGGATCTTTATAATGTTTTTCTAACACACTAAATGAAAGCACTTATGCAATCAAAAGTATTTGAATAAAGAAATTGGAAATTAGAAGTTCCACAAAGAATCTTTGCTGTATGCACAACTAAAAAATATGGCATTCAAGAAAGCTTTGGATTCAATTTTAACACGTTAACAAAAAGTAGTTTGGGTTACCTAATTTTTTATATATATATGTGTATCGCTGCAAAGGGCTTTTATTCTTTGGTTTCCATCAAATTTTCGAGTTATATAATCATTTTTCAAACATATTATTACATAATTTACAAGATCCTGTACCTCAGCTATAGGCAACCCCTTTCCTGCAACATAAAGAACGAAGACAAAGTAATATACTGGCTCTCAAAAAGTTGTTTTATTGGGGAAGATGAAAGCGAAATCCCTTACAGACCTTTCGGATCGGACATCGTGCCATGTTGGTAGATTCCAGTACTGTATCAGAAAAATTGGAATTTGCATAGCGCTGGAAAGATTATCGTCGTTGATGTCGCATACTTCATACTACTCGGTGCGCTTGCAGGAATATCAATGGTGGTAGGGTGGGATTTTTGTGAGGATTAGCCATATATACCAGTAGCGTTATCCTGCATCGACGCTCTGAGCTATTACAGTCTCTATGCAGGTCGCCACGATTCCTTGACGATGGTGAGGGTTCAGGGTGAATGAAACTAGTCTGTCTCACGTGAGATTTGAAACGCATGGCCAAACGCCGCAATCACTGAACCGACCCAGATTGTTGTTACTGGTCTCCGAAATGACACGGGCACTGTCGGCCTGTTGGACGGACAGTTAATGGAGGAAACGAAAAAATAAAGGTGAAACAATTCGATAACGACAAAGCTAAAAAACACATAAGTAGACGCGTTGGGATCCCCGCTTTCGCGTCAATAGCAGCCTACTTATCACCACTAGTTGGTTTTTTTTGCCGTAGCAAATATCTCACAGTTTTTTGTTCTATATGGTCATTCAACAATATTATTGCATAGGCATAGTCACTAAGCATTTCATCAAAACCCAATTATAAATACAAGCCAAAACATGGAATAATTCTGGAAAATATGTATCTATTTCGCCAGATACGTTTAGTACAATAACTTCCAATTCACCTCAAGAACCAATACAAATTGATGGGCCGTTACCTTTGACTTCCAATTCACCTCAAGAATATCTACCTAAAAGATTAAAACTAGATATAACGAAGGTGGCCGGATAATTAGTAAAAATTTTAGAACCTTCGTTACATAAAGATTTACTATACTTTTTATAACGAACTATTAAATCATTGCAAAATTCAAACTCGTTATAAAGTTTTGACTGTATATCAAATGTAGTCACAAACTTACGTCGCATGATGTCAAAATTACCTCATCAAGACTTAAGAGTATAGTCTAAAGCGGGGACAGTTATCAAGTGTTTCTTCGGAGAAATAGCTTGTGAGAAACATATCAGTCAGAACGGAAAATAATGACGGTGATACTGACTGCTGAATTTTTCGCCAGGCGCCAGAAAGTAATCGACCTTGAACAACGTGAGCGAACTTTCCCGTTCCGCCTAAATTTGCTATTATGGTGATCTTTGCGTGTATACCTACTACTACTAGTGCTATTATTACTATTAACCTCGTCCCTATTCAAATGACGTTTGTTATTTTGTGTGAATACTTCACTATTCTTCCATTATCGGTTGATTTAAAAGACCCGGTGCAGTCAACCAATCAAAATTTCGGGGGGGGGGGGAGGAAATTAGTAAATGCCGGATTGAAGAAGCAATATATCCACTTCTAGTACCTATGAAGACTAAGATTAGAATCAGAACTCAAAAAATTAAATGTCCGGAATCCAAGTTTCCCAAATGGGGCATTTGTAGCTAGTAATGCTATTCACCAATAAGAACGTATAAATTCTCTGGCTCAAATCAATGATCAACCCGGCAATCAAATATCCAGCGGCGGTTCGATATGGTCCGAGTCGATCTGAATTTACGCATTCTTATTGGTTGCAGATCACTAAAAATGCGCTTAACAAAAATGGATTGGAGCAGTTGACTCGAACACATCTTGACATTAACCTTGCCATCCTTACAATAGTAACTATTTTCATCTTGGTAGATGCTATCCATTAAAGCTTTGGCATCCATTAAATTTCCCCCGACGGGTCGAAAGATTAATCAGTTAAGTATTTAATATTTGTTTTTCTATTCTTGTGCTTTTTTCCTAGAAAAATCCATAATTTTGTTAAGACCGACAGATTAGAATTGGTTGGAACCAATAATATCTCTAGGAATAGTTATAGTAAACCTGCCTCGATAAACCGAATTTACTAAATAACCCTTTACCAACTGAGTTTTTGACCACAGAGTTGATTAATTAAATTTGTTTAACCGTTTTCCGAACATGTTATTTATTATTGGTTAATCACTGCATCATTGATATTAACCGTAAACTGCCATGAATAAGCACCACTTTTTGGGATATAAAAAACGGGGTATTACTCGTTTCTGGGCATTTCATCACATTTTAAAATTATTAGCATTTAAAGCGATTTTAGATATATTTTTGTAATTTAAATTTAGTGGCGCTTATTCATTGGTTTACTATTTTTGGATTGAAATAGGGTGGTGCTTATTTACGGCAGTTTACGGTAAGCATTGTACATTTACATTTAAAATTACGTCGGTCAGAGAAAATTTAAATAAAGTATTACAGTGCACGACACCTAGACCCACAGTTTTATATACACAATTCAATGTTTAGAAATTTAGTTCTACAAAAGTTAAATGCTTTAAGGTAACAATATAAAACTGTGGAATAGGTGGCACTGTACATTTTGCATACCAATACATTATTCATTATGCATGAATCACTGTACTAAACCAAATTATTGAATGTCAAACTTAATACAGGTACTTGATCTCGATTCGAAAATGCAAATGTAAATGCGAATCAACCTTCTTGTAAGAGAGCGCATCCAAATAAAGTAGCAGCATTTTCATTAAGCCTATTTGGTGTTTTATTGCAAATATTTCATTTCTCAGTGCTTCATAACATTTGTATATTTGGATGAATAGAATGCTTCATAACATTTTGTATATTTGGGTGAATAGAAAGCATAATGTCCAATGTTGTATAATATTGCTGTTTCTTTTTTTCTATATAAAAACTACGTAATCAACTTTTTTAGCTGCCGAAAAATTCTGTTCGTCGGGAAAACTAATTTCAAAATGTATCATATACAAACTTTCCCTCCCTATCATCCAACGACTTATTTTTTAAAGAACAAAAGAAACGGCGATCTACAACATAAAGCACCAAATGCGTTTATGATCTTTCGAGCATGCATCTCAGTACAAGTGAAAATACTACAACTTGGTGATGCTGTTAAAATTTCAAGAATTTCGTGCGAATTATGGAACTCACTGCCGGAATATCAAAAAAAAGCTTACAAAAAAATTTCGTCAGATTTAAAAGCGATTTATTCGGCTAATGGTCAGTCTGAAAACATCCGCGAAGAGGAAAATAATCGAGGCGACTCCAACCAAAATCCTATTTATGATTTTCTCGTGGATAAAGATCATGAACCCAACCAAAATCATAATCGTTGTTTTGCGGAGGAATATCATCAAAACGAATCCGACCAAAATCCTAATAATCACTTTCAAAATGTTTTCATGAAGGAATGTTATCAACCCAATAATCAGGTTAAAGATTTTGTTCCGGAGGAATGTCCTAATAATCACTCTGAAAATGTTTTCATGAAGGAATATTACCAATCCAATAATCCTTTTGATCAGTTTGCTGGCTTTTTCACGAAGGAATGTTATCAACCCAATAATCAGATTGAAGGCGATTTCGATAATGAATATTATGGTCTGAACAAAGATTGACCTATGTTACATAAATGCTTAATTTTAGTAGTGTTTGAAGGCTGGAACTTAATTCATTACTCTTTAATACATGTAATAAAAAATTAATTTGTAATGGGTAATTCAACAATTTACGTAAATAAATTTTTATATAAAATAAGCTGAAACGCCATATTTTTTCAAATTAATGAGCATAATATATATTATGAAAAAGGATGAAATTATTTAAAGAATCTTCGGTAAATTTTTACAAAGAATTTTTGTTGACAATATCACGAAATGGCTCAGGTTGTCTTTTTTGGCTTCTTGTAAATGTGCATGTTTAGTGACCTTCCAGACCCTGGTAAATTTTCTTTTTTCCTATTTCTCTTGTATTCGGCAAGAGACCATTATCCCGTCATC